TAACAACATAATTCGAAGCAGAATCACCATGCCACCCTGACACATGGTATACAGAAAAACATGTAAACACAAACCATTAGTGGATGAATACCAATTCGAATGATTTTGTTAGTGCCTTTCCAGTTCTGATTTTACCTTGAACCGTTTATAGTTAAGGAAAGTTCCAGGCTTGTACGCATCCTTGCATCATGACCACATCAAAATTTTGCTCCAGGAGCGCCGAATAAAAACAATAGATGGAAAGGTGCCACTTCTAGTAAACTCAGACCAGTGTCAATCATGGCTGGCCTCCTGGTCAGTGTCAACCATTTTTCGGTCCAAACACCACATCACGTCTGGTTTTCCCCAAAACTTTCATAATGGTTTGCAGAAAAAGCATCGTTCTTTTCCTAACTAGATTTGTCTAAAGGGTATAAGGAAACCGGTCACTCCCATGCTACCAATTTTCACTAGTAAGCCACTCTTAAAGTTCATGACAACCATAATAACTGCGGCGAATAATCATCATCGTAAGTCCCTGTGATAAAAAATCTCTCATTCTGCTTGCTAACCGGTCTACATGGTGAAGGTGAAATTGGGTTAATAACGAGTTGATAGAAGGTTACGTTCAATACAGGCACTGTCAATGTGTTCTCTAAGAAACTGCTTTAGTAACACTCGCCAATCGGTAATACGCAGCTATGAACTTTAAAATATTTCGTTTTGAAAACTGCTATAATTTTCACACAAGAACCACATCTTTCACGGTTTGGACATCATAAAACAGAATGAACACCATACACATACAAAGACATTAGTTTCACATACCATTTTGCTTTTAACTGCTGAATGTACAACGTATCTCAAAGCATTTGACAGCGTGTAGTGTACCAATCGATAAAGTGTAGAAGGAAGGAATAGGCACCAAATGGAGAAACGCCGAGAGTCTCGTGTACCCGTGATGTCCAGCGAAAGCCTGCTTAGGCCGCTTCTGATAAAATCTAGAGGTCCTGACTTCTCACTGACAACGTCGCTCTGAAACAGAAATCATCAAGAGCTTAAATTGAATGAAAACAGCATAATATTCTAATAAAAAAGAATCGTGCATGAACTGATTAACACCTAACAAATTCATAAATTAACCTGAGCCCTTCCTATAGCCTATATATCAACCTTTATCATGCTACACATATAACGGTGGAATATAAACTGGACGCAAACACAGATTGCAGAAAAATCAGGCAGCAATAGAATATTTGCTTGTAACGAAGAAACTGAACTTTGAAAGAAACAATCATTAGTGCAAAGATAAATTTGAGACATCATCTGAAGCGATTAGGGAGTCAGTCAGTTTAAATGACCACTTATTCTCTTGAGTCGTTGAAGCAGACGCGTTGGACAGCATATCCGGCGTCCCTGACCATGTGCCAGTGCTTGAGCTGCGGCACAAGATAACCTGAATCTGGAGCAAAGTACATCGAGGCACTTGCGCCTGGTCATTCTTTGCGGCCCTGGAGTCGTCTATCGGTAGGTACATCGTCTCTCTTTCTGGAAGCATTAACAAAACATGCCAAACCATCGCAGCAGTGACCTCTCAATTTGCAGAAGCAGCGGCTGAGCACCAAGGATCTCTCAGATATCTGAACTCCGGATCATTTCGAGACGTACGAGCCAGGCGATTCGTCTCAGAAAGCCAATTTCAGCCAAAGTAAGTATGCAGTATCGAAGTTTTTCAGCCAGGGTCCACTACTCATGATTGTAGATGAGCATGGTGAAGATCTACTTAAACACAGACACTGAATAGATCATAAATCATTTATCAGTATCTGTGATATTTTTGACATTCCGTTATCTTGGTATTTTCAAGCATTGCCTACCTTCAGATGTTGATCATAACGACCTGATGTAGATAGCCTGGAAAAACCTGGCTAAATGTATAAATAAACGAAATGGGCCGTCCAAAACAAATCCGTTCTCAGCCACCTCACAAAATAACCCATGAACCTGCATTTAGCTCGCCGCATATGGTCTACAGTGAATTGAATTCAAGTTGAACAAAGTCGCGACGGTCACTGATCTAAAGCTAAAAAACAAGCTTAGTCGGCAATGTTACTGTTTTGTGAAGACCAAACTCGGTAATACATTACTTCCGACTGTCAACGGAGGAAGTTCTACGGCAAGATAATTGATATATAAGATGTTAAGGCAATTAACTGGCTCAGAAATCTTGTCATTTCAAGCCATACGGTAAAAGAAGCAAAACGGAAATAAGTTCTGGTATGTGAAGTGGCAAGGTGTAACTCCAAAGAAGGAAAAAGATTGCGAAACAAGTTTGAGGGGCAAGAATAACACTAAAACCGATCAAAGATCAGATTATTCCAGTAGACAGACCAGAAGTACGGAATAAATAAAGGATTCATTAAGGCAATGGGAAAAGGAAAGTCTCTAACAGTTGGAATGTCTATCTTCCTTACACATTCATGATAGGATGATTTCTGCCACCCCTCTTTTCATGGCACTATTGGTAAGTGCTGATCTCGATTTTCATGTCATCAACTAGGAGTCTCTTATTTTAGAGGTAGAATCGACAGCAGCGATGTGGCAAGCACGGACAGTAGTCACTTGGCCCAGAGGTACTCATTTGTCAACCACGGAAGGAAGAAAGACGAGGGAACCGAGCGGGTCCAGAACCTGGGATCACTCGATTCAAAGTCTGATGCTCCACCGACTGAGCAACCCTCGTCAACGAGAAAAATGAGAAACTGTGTACCCAAATGGTCTGCGTAATGCAAAATGAAACCAGATAATCAGGTTATCAACATCTGCTAAAAGGGAAATCTCAAGACGAATCTCGACAAGAAACTATAACCTGTGAAAAAAGTATATTTCAAACGAAATAATCCGTCCAACTTCAAAGACAGTTATTTCTTTTATCGTCGCGGGGCAGCAGCTTCACAGCGTCCTACATAACTCTGACCACAGTCGTCGCAGTGAATCGACAATGGGTTCGCCGATAGGGTAATGCAGAAACTTATTGGTCGAGGAAGAATAACTGAACAACGAAAGGTGCACTGCATTTATTTTACAAACTTACACCTGATTACAGCTACGATTACATGAGAAATAAAAAAAGAAAATAAAGGAAATGGGGTTTCAACGAAATCTGAGTTTGAGTGTAAAACTGAATTTCGATAACTTAACTGAAAACACTTTCATTGTTAGCGGTGTATGCACTAAGCACACGACACCGCACCAGACGAATACCGAAAATCAGAGACAACAGTTCTTTCGGCACTGTAAAGAACAGGCCTTGATTTTATTACAGTTTTGAGCTCTTAGAATTCAATGACACGGATAAGAACAGCAGCCAACTAAACTGTTAAAATGCTTATGTCTTATATTTAAGTTTAATATTAATAATCCGTCCACTTGTTGTACTATGCTTAGGACGCTGGGACATTTCGGAATCTGGAAAACTTATATAGCGATATTTTACCGTTGCCGAAAATAAAGTTCGGTAATGATAATGACCCACATACAAGCATAACATTCTTTGGGCCGGGAAGACCAAGCAAAATTTATTAGTAGATAGACCGAATCGGTGTTTCAACTAAATACTAGATTGCATGCACCTCTCACCATGTGAAAACTTATTTATTGAGAATTATCTGTCGGACGGAGTCAGCTGCATCTACCTGAGATGCAGAAACGATCACCTCTCGAATTCAGATTGAACCAGCCTCTCTGAGAAGTTTAGATAAACAAAGACACACTTCAGAAATTAACATCCAAATATTTCTGTAATACGTAAGTCACAGAGCACAAATAATTGTTACTTGAACAGTCTGGATAAACGCTGCAAGTGCAAATGGTGTTGTGACTGAAAACGTCATCCTACAAGTCAAGTTTTCAAAGCTGTCGCATTAACGAAATAAGAGACAGACGTTTTGAGCAACAGATGACTGATCTTCTTTGAGCAGGAAGAATATCGCGTTACCTCCCTGAAAATGGCGCCATGAAACTCGTGTCAATTCAAACGATCGAAAAGGCTTATACCATACCTCGGTAACCCGGTAAAATCAGACAACAGCTTGTCAAGTACCATGTACATGCACGTCAGGCCAACTCCGCCAAATACGCCCTTCCACAAACAAAGCACGCCCTGCAAAATATCGACGATAATATTAACATCAATAAAATATAAAATATCCATTGTAATAGTCTGCTACAATGCTGCAAGTCGGATTTTATGAGATTTGAGGAGTGTGATTACAGTTCTAAAGGATTTGCTTCAATTCTGAAAGCGTGGAATTGCGAAAAGTTATATATTTTTAGTAGAGTTAGCAACCAGAGTAGAGAAAATCACCTGGTTGTGCTGCAGGTTAAACATGACCGGAATCAACGTGAACGGCATCGTGTGGTAAGCGACACCTTTGCCATTAATCTGAAAGCAGAAACACCACCCAACTGTCAAAACCAAGAACTACACGATCGCTTACTTGACATTGGCGACGAAGAACAACGCAGGGGTGGGAAAAAACGTTTTCGGCCAGCAGACTAAAGAAAACAGAGAATAAAACTTCTACACATTAGTATTTCACATATGGCTTTCAATAAAATTTTCATTTGTACAGCAGGTACTTCCTCTCTTTCTTTCAGGAAATACTTAAGCAAATAAACTTAAACTTGGAATCTCTACAAACAGAAAATGATAACAACAGCAAACATTTGTAATAACATCAAAAGGATGACTTGACCAGAAATATCATTTACTTCGTCTGCTTTCGAACAAGTCATTAAGCATCTCATTACTGTCGAAGACTTTTCTTTCAAGTTATAAATTTACACTGTGAATGACAACGAAATGCTACGGCAGGGAGAATGAGAGTTAATAAACATGAATTAAGATGAATCCGAGAAATCGACAGCTGGTATAAAATTCATTCAAGCAATATGTAAGATAATCACACAATTTACTCATTATTTCGCTGTTATTTCAGGACATTTATTAAAGCGCAGTTTTTGAATGGCCTGCTTCGCACTTAAGTTATCTGGTGATTTCGAAATGCTCCCAGTGATTTGAAAGTTCAAACTCAAAGGTCAATCTGGTTTTCTTATGCCATGTGACTTGCAATGAACAACTCGAAAACGACTATTTGTTTTGTTCATGGTTTTGTATGTCGTTACTTATTTAATTTTATGTTAATTATATTTCAGTAATGTACG